TGAGTACACCAGAATCACTGTGCCTTCCCCTTGTAAGATGTAAGTGCTGATCATCCCTTGCATACATTTTTCTAAGATACAGAGTGAGTGGTCACATGGTACCCTAAACTTAAAGCTCCTGATAAGAGAAGAGAGGGATAAGAGGGAAGGCAGGAAGATGTACCTGCAATGCAGTTACTCCATATGCTTACCTCGGGTTAGGCAGAGATATGCGTGTCATGACTCCCATAATCATGATCGGTGTTGGTTAGCAACTACATTGCCTTGATAGTATTTCTAAATAAAGCTATTAAGATACAAACCAAGAGGAAAAGATAGTGCAATGTACTTTCCATAGAAGAAATGAAGGGTAGTAAGTGAATAGGCCTCACTTGATTCTCCCAAGCCTGGGAACAATAGGTGTAAAGATTCCTTTAGAAACCTTCATAGAGTCACAAACATCTTCCCTTAGATGTTCTGCATTTTAGTGCCTATCATAGATTAACAGCTGCAAGGAATAGAAGGGAAGAATAATCTGTCTTATTAAAGTGGAAGAGCTGTTTCAACTAACAAATAAACATCAGCCCAGTAATTATAGATAGCTGCATACAAAAATACCTATTAACTTTTTTCCTGCTTCTACACCAGGGGATGGGCTGCTTAAAAACTGAGCGATGGATTGTTTTCTGTCCCCCCACCATAAGCACCTGTTCCATGCCCCTTCATACTGGACAGAGATCTTAGTCATTCAGGGTTTAGATTTTAAAATAAACACAACTGCATACTAACAACCAGTAACATGTATGTTTTCTCTTATGTAAAATGTTTATTCCCATCTCATGTTTGACAAAAGGCTCTGCTTAATTTGAAACTTTACTAACAATGATTTCCTCTCAGTACTTAGAATATGTCATGCTACTGATTTCTGGCTTCAGTTGTTCAGTTATTCCGGTTCCGTTGCCATTGAGAAATCAACTATAAACCTAATTGCCTTTCCTGGAGATTAATCTGTTTATTCTTTCATGCTTTTAAAATTTGCTTCTTGTTTCATGTCTTACTTCTGCTACATTTATAGGTATATTTGTTTTCATGTATTCCTTGAGTTTCCTGATTTCTGTATTTGCCCTTTCATAAAACCTGAGATGGCAATTAGCTCATCAAGCATTTGCCTTTCGTGTTTCTTCTGTTTGATTTTCCTGGAGCTGCTAGCTGCATATGAGTTCTGCCCTCTGTGTTTGCTTTGGTATCTTCATTTCCTTCTCTCATCTGCTCAACTCCTGCGAAACTTCTTTGCATTCATCTTCCATTTGATAACTATCTTCAACTGTGCAAAAATGCTGTTTTATCCATCATCCAGGCTTTTCAATTTAATTTTATATTTTAACTTTTAGAACAACCGTTCAGGTCTTTATAAATAACATCTTGGCCTTTGTGTTTTTGAATCTACCTTTCCTGAAAGATTTCAAAACAATGCATTTATTCTGATTATTATAATATCTGTAAGTTTTGCAGGTACAGTTCATAAGGTTTTATTGCTGTTCACCTTGCTTATGACTTATTAGTTCATATTTTAATGATATCTTATTGTGATGTAATATTTGTTGGAACTATGAAATTTATCTGGAGCAAAAGTAAGGTTCTTTCCCCCATAAGAAGAGATTTAACTTTACTGTTGCCTGACTCTCAGGAGCACTACCAATCCCAAATCACTTTCTCTTGATTATTGATTTGGATATTTGAAGACACACAGTAATGACATTCTTGCCTTACATTCATGTATGTTGTGTTTTATGCTTCATAATCCTTAAAGGATTTTTGCTGTTGTTACATTGTTATTGTATTTGATTTTAGTTGTGTGTGCTATTCTGCCTGTGCCAAGATGTTTTAACACATGAGTAGGATTTGTTACAATAAGGTATGGTAAGATGATAAGAATGCAGCCTTGGGAGAAGAGTTTATGACTCCTGGTTCCAGAGGAAGGGGACGGCATGCCAGGACCAGGCAGGAGGCAGGAGGAGAAATCCAGAATTAGAGCCCTTTTGTGTGGCTTTTCCAAGAATAAAAGAGTAAGGCAAGACTGACACACTTAAGTACAGTTAGGATTGGGTAGTTTTGAAACTACTGTCAGGCTCTTAAGCATAAGAGTGGCTCCTACATTTTGATACCTAGATGTGAGGTGAATTAGAGCAGAGATATTAGGATGGTGTGTGAATAAAAGGAGGGGAGTGGCCCGCACTCAGGAGTGCATAGAAATAAATGTGTGCTCTTAGGCTCATAGGCAAGCTGTTTACTATTGTATGACTTGTCTACCTCTGAAGGACATTCTTTCCAGGATCAAGAAGGGCTCAAGATGTCAAAGTATTTTAAAAACCTAATTAACATGTATGACTAGAGTAGTGAGTTGCCAACAGGTGGTCAACTTGTTACACTCAGCTGAAGTGAACTAACGTGGTGCTGGGTGTGGGAAGCCCACCTAAGGATTGTTGCCAAAAGCATAAGTGGCAGAACTGGACAACTGTTAGGGAAGCTATTTGGAGAAGCTGTTAGAACTTTTGAAAGCAGCTGGTTTATTTCTGGAAACTGGTCCTCACTTTGAGCATTGCTTCCTAACTCCAGAGGGGAAGATGGTGCACCGGTCAGCCTCATGGAGAAGCTTGTCACATTGACTTTCCTGATGGGAATTCAGCTTGCATTATCCCTGGAGGAGCTTGGGACCTGGCTGTCACAGAGGATGGCTGTGGTACTTCTTGGGGGAGCTCTGGTTTTTATCTCAAGCAATCTTCCTGGCTGCAGGTCTGATCCCTCAGCCTGCTGGCACAGATCTTCATCCCACTGGCACAGCAGCTTCCACTACTGACCGTTGGGCCTTCTCAGTGAAGATCCATGAGGTAGGCCTACATGAGACACTGACAAGGGCCCTAGGCCTCCAGCAGGACTTGTGAGAGACGTCGTTATGAGCCCTAGGTCACAAGCTGGACACCTGCTGGATGTTAGGATCCAGGCCCTCCAATGATTCTTTGGTCTTTAGCATGTGAACAGATTTCCTGCACTCTTTGTATATGATTCTTTGGGTGATTCATTATAAAATAATCTCACAAAATGTGTTCTGTATTTTATTGTTCCTCTTACAAAAGCCCCAAACTATGACAAACAGATAGGCAAAGTATTCTCATCTTCTTCCTCTGTAACAAGAATTCCTTTCATATTCAGCCTCCAGAGAACACTGAGTTGCCCTCTGAGAGGAACCTTCAGTTACTGCCATCACTGACCCAGTTTCCGGTGGATCTGAGGCTGCTGCTTCCCTCCAGGCTGCTGAGCCTCCCAAGCTCCAGCCTCCCAAGCCTGGTGGATGCTCTCCAGGCAGCAGGATCCTGCCCCACTCCCGCTTACGCCTCCGCGTTTGGGTTTTCCATCAAGGCTACCCTCGGAAAACCTTGTCATGTTTTCTTTTCATTTGCTACCACATTAACCATGATTTTAAAAATCATTTTTACATTTGACTGAGTTTTCAGACATTCAATTCTTGGAGCTGTTTTTTCCTCAGCCACTGAACCATTCTGTTAACACAAAGTATTAGAATTACATTTTTAATGTCTTTCGTGTTGAAAGATTTTCTTATTTAACCAAATTAAAAACCACCTCCAAATCCTAAAATGCTATTTAGTGAAATGTCAATCTTGGATTTTCTACAGATTTTAAACAGTCTTGTTCATTTTGAATAATTGTCACTAAAGTGTAAGACACTTAAGATTTTTGGCTTAATATTGTACATTTTTTAAATTTTCTCTATGAAATTATAAATATTTTCTATATTTTATGCTGTAATCTGAAACTTAATTTTATAAGAAAACATTTGAAAAGCCAACCAAAGAAGATTTGGTATGCATTAGGCAAAAGTGTAGGTATATAGTTCATAAATTGTAGTAAGAAATAAAACTTGAATCTCATAGGGTATCGCTTGTGTATACAGTGGCTTGGGTTTCATATTGTTTCATTTTTAAATTTTAATTAAACAACTGAAAGTTCAAAAAGTATCCTTAGCATGTTTAATGTCACTAAGTAATGTTGGCAATTTAAACAACTGTCATCATTAAATTGATCATTATTTCCACCTTCTTAGGCTTGTAGCCAGATTTGAAAACTAGGTAAGCAGGAAACTTTGAAAGACCTGCTGAACATAAGAATGCTGAATAAACATACCCTGACTAATGACCACACCATTAACTTATCTGCCTTGTAAGAAATGAAGTATTCTAGACTGTTTACACCAAGATTAGCAGACAGAGGAAAGAGGGAAGGAAGAGTTCTGAATAAATAAGCATCCCTTTAATGAGAATTGGTTCAATCTCATCAGCAATAAAAGAAACACAATTCAAGACAAAATATTCTCCAAGTGTCACTAGCAAGGAAAACGGTATGTTAAGATCCAGGTTAGATGAGTGAGAAGTGAAATGGACTTTTTATGCACTGTTGTTTAAGTATACATTATTGCAAAGATAACTTGACATTACATATCACCAAAGAGCTTTCAGAACTATGTATTTAGCTTTGCACAGTGGCAGTATCAGAGCCAATGAGGTTTATCCGAAGCGGGATTATTGCTAATTGAAAACTTTTCCCAAAACTATGTATTTACTCTAGCCAACTAAGCTTTCAAGAACGTTATTCTAGAAAGCATGTGGAAAGATAAACATACATAGAGCTCACCACAACTTTATTTATAATGATGGAAAACGTTAACAGGAGGGCTCTGAGACAGGAAGGCAAAATGCGAGGAAGCTGCTGGGGACAGAGGCGGTGGGGAGGAGACACGACACGTTAATCACAAAATTAACATGCGCAGAACAGTTTCCAAAACCCTGTACGAGGACATCTGGGGAGAACCCACACTGTGTAGAATAAATAAAAAACAGACAAGAAGCCATAAAGAGTTTACTGAAGTGCCACCCTCCTTGGCCCACCCTATGAGCAGGCTTCTCTCTAGGTGTACTCTAGGGCGTGATCTTCAAAGTGTTCTAGGGATCCTTCGGCTCATGCGTGTGATGATTGGGTGTTCATATCTTATAATACATGAGATGTGGCTCCCTCAAACCTTGTTACGATGTGGGCACATTACCTGTCTGATGTGAACAAATGAAAAAAAAAAAAAAAGAAAGAAAAAAAGAGAGAAAGGAAAAAATAAAAGAAACAAAGTGTTCTACGTTTTTGATCAATTAATAACTTTCATGTTTTTTCTATTTCTTTTATTTTTATGTATTTTCTTATTTTTATTCTCTCCAAATTCACTCAGCAAAGTTAGTTTCTCCCTTAATCTTCACTTTTTAATTTCACCTTCCTCTTTAATTTTTTGTGCCTCAAATAAATATGAAACTTGGCCACCGTTTTTGCTTGTTTTGTTCAGTGCTTTAGTCAGGACAGAATGAACCTAGAAGCCACCTCCAGAGGGAGGCTCCAGCATCCAGGAAATTTCACCACAGTCCTTTTCCGTAAATGGGCTGAGGAATGGGCACATCTCTGGCCTGTGTGGAAGACAGTCCCGCAGGCCCGGGAGGAAACACTTCCTCACTAAGGGCTCCTGCTGCGACTGCATGACCTTCTTGGCCTTTTCCAAAAATTGATTTCTATTGATCATCACCTCAATATTGACTTAAAATTTATTAGGATTTTGTGGGCTATTTACCCTTCATATTTACTGTAATTTCATTACTTTATTTTTATATTTTAGATTTCCTACCTCCTTATTTTAACATGAACATTTATTCTTACACTATGATAGCAATAATTTAACTATATTTGAATATTCTAAAAAAATGCTTTAAGTCTTAACCTCATTACTTTTTTTACTTTTTAGACATTTTTACCTTTTTTGCACATATTTTCAAGTTTAGTTTTTTTAAACTTGTTTTTCCATATTTTAAAATTAGTATTCTATCTTTGGGATAAATTCTCTCATGTAAAAAATGTAAAAAAATATTTATTTAGACTCATTTATCTAAATGTCTGTCTCTCATTTATTATCTCACTTTAGTTATTTTAGTGTTTGTTTTGGTTTGGTTCTGTTGAAAAATCTAACTCCTGCTTCTGTCCACAGATGCCTCCTTGGCCCATCTGCATGAAGTTATGGTGGCGTTCTCTCCTGGAATTTCCACAAGGTTTGGTCAAAACTTCCTACATGTTTTATTGAAATTAGCTGAAAACCCAATTTGCAACCCATTATGATTACAATCCAGTTAGTAACATAAATTCATTCAAAGGAAATGTAATGAAGGATTGCCTAAAACATGTGCAACCCTTCCAAATCTCTCCATGAGTCTCTGGATTCAATCAAATCATCAGAAAGTTTTTATTTACATACATAAATGTCTGGTCCCATTGATAGTAATTGTACCAAATTTTATGCTTTAGGACTTTTTTTAAATGTATTTGGTTCAGAGTCTCACTACACAGCTCAGACTCATAGCTTCCTGTTTTCAGCCTCTCCAGCAATGGGATTACAGGCATGCACCACCACACCCAGACTCAGTGGCCAGCTCAGGGTGCCCTGGGGACAGGGCCTGCACAGCATGTGGTGTGGGGAATCAAACCCTGGTCCCTGCATTTGCTTAAACAAGCTCTTAGTCTGCTGAGCTAGCTTGCCTGCCCTTTTAGACTAGGATTCTACCACTGGTCTATTTTGTATTTTTATTCCAATGAGCCGTGTCCCCGGCCCCTTCATTGGTCTATTTTGAACCTTTCTCTGAGAAGTTTCCCTAGCACACACATTAACATATTTACAGTAAAAGTTAATTGGAACACAAATTCTCTGGGGTAATTGTTTTGTTTGGGTTTTGTGCAGGATATTATTTTATTGACCTTCTGAATGTGTAACCCATTTTCTTATCTTTTTTGTTAGCTGCTAGGGGGCACTGTCACAGTCCTGGCCCATATTCAGCAAGCACACAGTATCTCTTGGCAGACGACTCACTCACTGTTCACTTTTATCTCATTTCAATATATCTTTGCCTTTCTTCTTACTTGCATTGTTTTCCTGAGCATGTTATTTACATTGTTAGACTGCACCTGAATAAATTTTGAAACCAAAAAAATACTCTGAGAGAAAAAAAACAAAGAAAAAGTCAGTCTCATAACCCCATTTTGCACTTCGGAAACCAAGACAGTATGATAATAATAGGCAGCCAGACAGTAGCAGGTCTCTACTTGGGGCACCCACCTTTCCTTTAGGAAATGACTTAAAATGTAATACACCAACACTACTAGGCTGTGCTGCTCTGTTAAAATTGCCAGATTTCCATCAACACTAGTGATCAACCACCAGTCAGAAATAATCAGATTGCTAGTGCTGTTTTCTCCATTTTATTTTGAGCAATATTAAAATTCCAGAAATATCATCAGCCCAAGCAAAGCCAGTGACGATCAGTAACGAAAAGTGTCAGCTCCCTCCTCTTTTCCATATGCTCAGAAAAGCTTAGGCAACTTCATTTTGATGTTTTGTAAATACACATCTAGAAAAACTGCACCCTTCACTGGGTGGGGCATTATGATAATTCCATAGCCCACTATAGTAGAGAAAAGAAAATGAAAATCAGAGATTTGATGCTCACAGAAATGATTAGCTCGCATTTGTCAATGATTCACTTAGTTTGAACACAAGTGTAGGCATCTCACATACATCCTCTGTACTTCCCCACAACTCTGCAAATGACATTTACTACTGAACCTTATTTTACGGTGAAGAAAACAAGGCTCAGTGCAGTTGATTAAACCATTAAGTGAATGGATCACTAAGCATAGAAGTTGTAAGTTGCACTTGATACATTACATTCCAATTGTTTGTTTGTGATAGGTTTCAGGCAGATGTAAATATAGAGGTACTTTTTTGTGTTAATATTCTCTTTGAAAACTTAGTTTTGCTCTATACAGTGATATGTTTTATTTAAATACCTAATTTTGCCCTATACAATAATATCATAAGTTTTTAAAAATAATTTTAAGTTGCAACAAAAATTTAAAAGCCAGTTAGATCAGTTTAAATTGCATTGGCCTGGAAGAGGGAGCAACTACAACAGGTAAGTTTAAAGTATACATGCACAAGTGCATATGTGCATATTCAAGTACAAGAATTCTGGGACCAAGCAGGTGAGAGCAGGCATAGTAGTCCAAGGAGGCCATCAGCAACCTCATCATCTTCTTTCCCAGATGTCTTTAAATAAGGTATTATTTTGCTGGTCACCTCATAGACATAAGATATGCATTGCATCTGTAGACACTATCTTTTAGGAAGGAGGAAAAGAAAGGAGAAGAGAAAAAAATAGAGATGAGGAGCATAGCCATGATCTCTATGCCTTTAAAACTCCTGTCACTACAGGGCAGATATGCTTCCTATAGCACTTCTGTTACCCAGTACTACACAACAAACTACGCTGAGAATGACATGAGAGAATAAATGGTGGACAGTTGCACTATCACCAAAAACGTCCAGACTTTGCCTTGGGATGTGAGCTGGAGCAGCTTGCCTGGGGCTAAAGGATCCAACATGGCCTCACCCATACATCTGGCACTCAGCTGGTAAGACTGGAAGTACTGGGAATTGGCTGGGCTTCTCTTGTTCCCTAAGTTTCTCATCCTCCAAGGTTCTTCACTCTCTCTACTGAGATATTTTTCCAGCAAGGTAGTTTCAATTCTTTACATGATGGCTGACTTCCAAAAAAGTGACAAACGGAAGCTCCAAAGTCTCTTAAAACTTTAGTCCCAGCAGTCAACCAACATCTCTTTGTCAAAGTCAAGCCAAAAATATACACACGAATCTCTGATAAAAGAACTGTATGACAAATAATATTGTAATCCAGGTCACACATGCCCAGACCAGATGTCCTCTGCTGTATGCAGAGAACAAAGGTAAGACTGGGAGGTTTTCTGGGACAAAGAGTTCTACCCAAATTGTTTGTCAGAGCTGACCAGCTCTGACTGTCGCACGCAACAGTTAGTGCGGAAAGCTGGTCTTAACATCACAGCAGACAGCTCCATCCACAATTGCTGAGCAAATTTTAATCTTGAAGATTGGCCAAGGGGGGCATGTCCTGGTGCTCAAATACCAGGGGAAAAGGAAGACATATGTCACCTCTTTATAGGACAGGGGCACACATAGGTCATTTTTCAATTTTAGAACCCCAAATTTGTCACACCATTTTTTAAATTTTGTTTTCTACACCAATATTTAGCTTTTCCATATAAAATACTTCTCTGTGTGTGTGTGTGTGTGTGTGTGTGTGTGTGTGTGTGTGTGTGTGTGTATTTTGGTGATGGTGGTAGTGTTTTACTTGTACTCCTGACAGTCACAGAGCTTCAAGCTTCAGACGCTTACTAGATGAGCTAGACATGTGACCGAGGAGGAATGGATGAGGCAAGATGTAGCCTGAGACTTGTCTACACAGCACAAGCTGGGACGTCTGTGTCTTTGTACATCAGTACCATCCACCAAGCTTCCCCAATTTCTAGTCAAAGAGCTGTAATTTTCGAAAACAAAATTTATGAGCAGTACCACTGAAGTAAAGAGGTTTCCACGTAGCAAATGACCCGGGCCATGTAAAAGCAGCAGGAATCAGGGAGGTTTTGTTGGGAAATCTGTTTTAGACTGTTTATATGCAGGATGTTCCTGCCCCTTTTATCACAGAGATTCAAAGGAACAAGTTTACAACAACAGCTCCCTTATGCCTGGTATTCACTTAAACCTGGGAATTACTGAAAGGCCAAGTAACTGCTCAAGTAAAATTAAAGATTTCAGTGCTGGACAGCAGGCAAAGTTCAAACTAGACAATGGTATTTGCTAAGAATGGAGAATAATGGGTAGAAAATATCAATTTTTGTCACATTAAAGCTAGAATTGTGGGGCTGGGAAGATAACTCTATGGCCTAAATGCCTTGCTGGCAAGCACAAGGACCTCGGTTTGATCCCTGGTACCAGATGTCATTCTAGCCCCAGAACCCTGGATGCACTGTGTGAGACACCAAAACCAGGAGTGGTGGTGCACACCTGTGATCCCAGTGTGGGGAGGCTGAGACAGGAGGATCACTATGAGTCTAAGCTGTGTAGTGAGACCCTGTACCAAATAAATAAATAAATGATTTT